GTCTGCAGGGGGGAGATCATGATTGGGTTGGAGGGCGCAAAGGTGCCTCTCCTCAAGTTGCCAAGCCCCAACAGAGAGGGCGAATTTTATGTTGACGATCGCGTCAAATACATGGACAAGCGCCATGTCGTTGTGGCCGTTGACCTAAAGTGGATGGCCATCGAGGAGGCCGCCGGCATCTATAAAACCCGACGCGGTTTGATTGCCGTGCGGGAAGAGATACATGCACCCTTCTGGCGCGCATGCTATCTGCACCAGGAAGGGGATGTAATATACATCCGTCCCTGGGCGGTCCGTGAGTTGAATGTTCAGGGACCGCGGAGAGGGGTGTCATTTTCATGGGACAAAGCTCCCATGCATGACTACTGGTGCCCTCGGTGCGCGCATTTGAATATGTATGGCACCATTCTATGCAATGGTTGCCATTTGCCGATTTTCTATCGTGAGTGGGTGCCAGGCACCGTCCGCTCCCATGTTAGGAGAGGGCAGCCAGTCTGGTTAGACGGACTCAAGGCAGTCCGTGCCAGCAGCTGGTATGAAGGGGAGACTGACGTGTGGGCTCCTCTCATGGCATTGGTAAACCCGATCCGCGAGGTGGTCAGCTGTATGATCTCCGGTTTGCGCTGTGCGCCGCACCTTGTGCGCAATCCCAATGCGGATATTGTGCAAGTTGCGTTTCAGGAGGTTGCAAAGGTCACCTCGAAGGACACTCACGCTTGTGTGCGTGCGAGTGATGAGGCTCTCGAGCGGTGGGTAGCGAAACAGCTGCTCATCGAGGAGAGCAATACTGGCGTCTCAATTCCCGACAATATGTCTGTCATGACATATTTGATCGAGCGCCCGCAACAGGCGGCGCAATGGGGTCGTCATATGACGAGAAAGGGCAGTCTAAATTCAGCATTTGCCCTTTACCTCTCTGTGCATATTTATGATGCCTACCGCATCGGGATTGAGGACGGATATTTGGTTCCGCTGTATGGCCTAGGCGCCTCACGCGCGGACATCATAATGTCATTGGTACAGGCTGAGCGACGCCTCGCGGACTTCAATAGTGAGGACCCAAGTTTTGATCCCTCCACAGTTCTTGATTTGAGTATCGACTTTCTGCGGGGCAGTGGTGGATCCATCACGGCCCCGATTGAGTATGCTGAGGCATACATTTATGTCGAAGACAACAAGGTTGACATGGTCCCAGCTGCACAGCGGGACGGCCAATGCGCCATTGTTTTTGCTGACCCGCCGACTGGGAAGCACCACAGGCGGGCAGCCACTCCTAGGGGAGATCATCGGTCTGCTACCCCGCGACCTGAATCCAGGTCAAAGGGGGATCAGCCAAAGGGCAAAGCCCCTGCGCAGTCCTGGCCCAAGGGTGGAGGTCACAAGGGTGACCAGTTTCCAGGAAAGGGTCACAAGGGTGATCAGTACAAAGGCAAGGGTAGCCAATACGGCTACCAACAAGGGCAGTTCGGTCGTGGCGGATCCGCCAGATCGAGAACTCCCACTGGCGGGTATCAGCCTGATGCTCGCGGGTCGGGATACAAGGGTGCACAGGCTGCCCCTTACCCGTTCCCGAGTCCGATGTATCCCACTTTCCCAATGGGAGGATACATGCAACAGCCTATGGCTGGCATGATGCCACAAATGTGGCCTGGCGCAATGCCGCAGGGTTGGCAGCCGCATATGCAGGGTGATCCCCGCGAGTTCGAGAATCCGAGCTCGCCGCATACCCCTACATGGGGTGACGATGACGAGTTGGCCGAGACTGTGCCTCCTCCCCCTGGGGACTGGAATGTCAACAAGGGGAAGGGGCGGCACGGCGGTGGACGACATCGGTGATACCTGAAGTCTGTCCATGCGTCTTGCATGGCTGCGCCAAAGCGCGCATGCTTTCATTCCGGAATTCACAAAAAGGGACTATGCTCCTTGTAGTATTTCTTTGTCTGGGCTATTCGCCGTTTCCGAATTCAGCTGCATGCGTAGCTGTGCGCTATTCGCGCAAGCTGCGATTACCTGTCAGGTGTGCATCGCCGCAGCAAGGCAGTCACTCTCGGCGGCTTCTATGGCCGCTGGTGATCTGCATCCACCTGCACCGCTGCTGCTGATGGTGATGGTGCTCATCAAGGTGCCGAGGTGAAGATCACGGGTGCCCTGCACCGCTGCCGGTGATGTCCTACTCGGACCTGAACCGCGGATCGCTGCTGGTGGTATCCATGGCGATTGTCCTCGAGTGATCGCGCGCCTAGACGGTGCTAATTTATAGCCAAAGCTCATTGGTCTATGCACCATGTTTCAACCAACTGGCCAATGCGCCTAATCTAGTAATTAAAAATTAAATCCACTTGAATCAAATGGTTCAATGTGGTTGCAATGCGAATGACAATTCTTTGGCTTCATGCCGGCCATTCCGAAGTTGAGCCTTTGTTCTTTTCTTTTGTTGCTTTCTCTTGTTTGATTTGGCTACCGGCGAGAATCCGCCCCATACCCGTAATTCGGGGTGGTGGCGGGATCCGGGCACCAATGAGTGCCCGGGTATGGGGTCGCGAACCCTGGTAGCCTAATCGGCTTTGTTTGTCTTGTTTTTTTTGCATTTCAACTTCAATATGGCCAATGCGCCCTTCCAAATTCACTCCTTCTCTTTGTACAGGCGAGGGGGGTGTTTTTGGGGGCATGTACTTTTATCATAGCAGTTTGTAGTACGCCAATACCCAACGCGGTATTTTGGCTCAAGTTTTATTCCGTCGACTCGATCTGCCATTGCCGGCAAAAGCGCCTTCAGCGGCGCCGTCCTGGTGCGTGGGTGGTTGTCCCACGCCCCAGGCCACGGCGGCTGGGTGTTCTTGGGTGTGGGTCAGGTTTGGGTTGGGAATTGCATTGTTGCTGCTGCTCCGCTTTCGCTTGGTTAATTGCTTTGCTTGCTTGCTTGCTGCGCTTGCTTGGTTGGCTGCGCTGGTCCCCTTTCCTGTTTGGGTTTTGCGGTTAAACAGGATCTCCCGTTTGTTATCTGTGTGGTTCATTGCCAGCCGAGGGCACCACTTTGCCCTTGGGACTGGGGGGCTTAAACTGTCTCTTCTTGTTGGTGGGTTAGGGCCTGTTTATTCTCTCCCGAAATACTGTTTCAAACCCTTTCGCACTTTGTGATGGGTTTGTCTTTAACAATTGAGATGGCGATCGGATCGTCCGCGCTGTTCCACCTGGAGCTTGAACTGGGTGTTTCAATGTTGGAAAATATTGCAGCTGGGCATCGCACGGATACAACCGGATACAACCCGCGCACGCGCTTTGCCTGGTAGCCATATTTCATATGGATGTTAAAGGCTGTCCTTTAGTGGGCGCAGGTCTGCGTATGAAGCCTATTGGCCATGCACTTGCCTTCTGCCCCCAAGCCTTCCAACGGTGTGGAAGACATTGCCGCCAAGCCCCTAGTTCCAACTCATGCTCTTCCGGACCCGGAGGCCCCTAGATCCAAGGCTGAGGTCTGTTTGTGAACTGGGTTTGTCTCCAATAGGGGACACCCCCCAAACCAAAGCAAGCAGAAGGAGTTTGGTTTCCTTCTAATGTTCTTGAAAGCCAACCCCAAACGGTAAGCAAAAAAAAAAGACACCCATTTGTCGCAAGGTGAAACCTGCAAGGGGCTCCCGTCTTGCGCAGGTGCCCACCTGGTGCCACCCAAGAAAAACGCCCAGGCCGGGTAGGGGAACCAAACCGGAGGAAAATGGAGAGCTTGAGACAGAGTGTGTGTGTGTGTGTGTATGTGTGAGAGCTAGGCTGTGAGCTTGTGCGTGAGCGAGACGAAGTGTGTTTATGTGTGTGAGAAGGGGGGATGTGAGATATAGTATGTTTGCGTGGTGCGTGCTTGCGTGCGTGCTGTGTGTGTGTGTGCGTGTGCGTGCGGCAGAGACAACGTGTGTGCGTGTGTGGACACGT